ACGTCTGATTGCCTACAAGGGTTTTGCCACCAAGTACTAAGTCAAAGGGGTCAAATACTTATTTTGCTCATTGACATGCAGATTAATTTATAAAAAAAAATTACATGCATTTTTCTGGCTTTTTTTTTGTTTTTCTGTCTCTCACTGTTAAAATACACCTACCATTAAAATTATAGACTGATAATTTCTTTGTCAGTGGGCAAACGTTCAAAATCAGCATGGGGATCAAATACTTTTTTCCCCTCGCTGTATGTTGCACAAAATTGATATTGCAATTGTGGAAGTGGAACACGAATTGCCCCAGTTTTTTATTTACTTTTTTCTTTAAACAAGTTGATTGGCAAATTGATATTTTTTTTTTTTTTTTGCAGTTCACAGGTCTCCTCTACAGTGACATAACATGCTTCTGTCTCCCACGTGATGAAGTACATTTTAGATATGGATATAATTGTTTCAAGCTAACCCACTTAATAAGTGACTCAGTGAATGTCAATGTCCAACTAACTAATTTAATACTGGCCACCAAACTTGTTCTCTCTCACTATACAACTGGCTATAATTTTGGATTTTATCACAGTACTGAAATATCTAATTATGCTGCCTCTTTAATTGGAGAACATTTATAAAATGATCATTTAGAAGCAGTAATAATTTTAATGCAGTTCTGTCGTATACATCTTTACATAAGCGTCTCTGTTAAAATGGTTGCCATAGAAATATATTGAAAATTATATTAAATGGTTAGAGTATTTATTGCCTTAGAGCTGCCACTGTGGCAGGGGACTGTCCCACTATTCATAACTTGCTGTGTTCTGCTATTTGACCTCTTTCGTTTTCTCCATCATTCTGTGCAAATCTAATTTGAGCTAAATTAATAATATATCATTCAAAATGCATCATTCATTTATGAGCAGCTCAAAATAGATCCTTAAGCGAATATCACTTAATGAACGACTACCAGCAGTGGTAAAACCTGTGTATAAATTATGTTTATGGTTTAAATGCTATTAACACATCTAAATCAGTGGTAACACAAGAAAAATAATCCTTTTTTAGTTACCGTATATACTCGAGTATAAGTTGACCCGAATATAAGTCGAGACCCCTAATTTTACCCCCCAAAAATGGGAAAACTTATTGACTCGAGTATAAGACTAGGGTGGGAAATGCAGCAGCCACTGGTAAATTTCTAAATAAAATTATATCCCCCCACAAATTATATTAATTGAATATTTATTTACAGTGTGTGTATATAATGAATGCAGTGTGTGTGTGTGTGTTTGTGTCGTGTGTGTATATAATGAATGCAGTGTGTATGTGTGTATATAATGCAGTGTGTTTGTATGAATGCGGTGTGTGTGTGTGTATTTATGCAGTGTGTGTGTATGAATGCAGTGTGTGTGTATGAATGCAGTGTGTGTGTGTGTATATAATGCAGTGTGTTTGTATGAATGTGGTGTGTGTGTGTGTGTGTGTGTATGAGTGCGGTGTGTGTGTGTATATGAATGCAGTGTGTCTGTGTATGAGTGCAGTGTGTGTGTGTGTATGAATGCAGTTTGTGTGTGATGCATACCCTGGTGGGGGGTGGGCATTTTTATTATTTAAAAAAAAAAAAATATTATTATTATTTTAATATTTTTTTCTATATTATTAATATTTTATTTTATTATTATTTAAATTTTTATTTATTTAGATGTTAGCTGGCCAGGGAGGGGGGCTCTCATTCCCTGGTGGTCCAGTGGCATGGGCTGTGTAGGAGGGGGGCTGGCAGAGAGCTGTAACTTACCTTTCCTGCAGCTCCTGTCAGCTCCCTTCTTTCTCCTCCGGTCCGGTCAGCTCCCCTGTAAGTCTTGTAGTCTGTGTGCCGGTCTTTGTATTTATGTGTCTGTGTCTATCTGTCTGTATGTATGTGTGCCTGTCTGTTTGTATGTATGTCTTGTGTGTGTAGGTGTGTCTGTCTGAATGTGTCTGTCTATCTGTATGCATGTGTGTGTCTTGTGTGTGTCTTCTGTATGTGTGTGTCTCTGTATGTATGTGTGTGTCTGTGTCTGTCTGTATGTATGTGTCTTTGTATGTATGTGTCTTGTGTGTATGTGTGTCTGTATGTATGTGTGCCTGTCTGTCTGTTTGTATGTATGTATGTGTGTCTTGTAGGTATGTGTGTCTTGTCTGTTTGTATGTGTCTTTGTATGTATGTTTGTCATGTGTGTGTGTGTGTGTCTGTGTGTGTGTGTGTGTGTGTGTGTGTGTGCCTGTCTGTTTTTATGTATGTATGTGTCTGTGTATGTATGTGTCATGTGTGTCTGTCTGTATGTGTGTCTTTGTGTATGTATACCTGTCTGTCTGTTTGTATGTATGTGTGTCTTGTCTGTATGTATGTGTGCCTGTCTGTCTCTTTGTATGTATGTGTGTGTCTGTATGTATGTGTGTATGTGTGTCTGTCAGGGGGTAGAGTTAGAGAGGGGGACAGGGGGAGAGGGAGGGGACGGGGGCCCCCCCATGGGTTTTCCTTTGCACATTCCTTGTATGGATGACTAAATCTCAAAATGCCACGATAAAAGTAAAACAAAAAAGGGAAGGTAACACACAATAATAGGTACAAATGCACCTGTGTGCAGATAGAAAACACACTCAGTGGGTAATAGGTAAAACAATTCACAACAATTACCCTTAGTAAATAGTATTGTAGATGTAGATTACAACACAAAAGTAATAGAGACGGACATAGGGCAATAATGTAGCAAAAGTGTGAGTATAAAATATAAATAGTTACACTCACAAACCCATATCGATTGAAGGCATATCATGAATAACGATGTAATAGCTTCAGGGCAAGTGGCAAATAGGCACATCAGGCTCAATTGAAGACATATCCTGGTCTCAGGGTCCAAAAGAGCAAAAGAGCAAATCAGCTTGCGTATTTGTATTTTATTGTATTTTATTGTATTTATTTATTTTACTGTTTATCTTTTGGCTGTTTTGCTCTTTTGGACCCTGAGACCAAGATACGTCTTCAATTGAGCCTGATGTGCCTATTTGCCACTTTCAGCATGTAAGTGTGCCTTATAATGAAGTGTGTTGTTTTACTTAGATACTCTGCCCTATTATTTCTTTTTTCTTTCTATGCACGCCACTGATGTTGCAAAAGTCCCGAAGCTATTACATCGTTATTCATGATATGCCTTCAATCAATATGGGTTTGTGAGTGTAACTATTTATATTTTATACTCACACTTTTGCTACATTATTGCCCTATGTCCGTCTCTATTACTTTTATGTTGTAGATTGCCTTTGGGTATTTTTGTCAAAAAAGGGAAGGTATAGGGTTGCAAGTAAGCTGTTTGCAAATTATTTAAAATTAATTGATGTTTTGCTGGTGACTGGCTAGCTCTGCTCCCCCTATATATAAGTGAACCTTGTGACCTGGTCCGTACTAGACATCAGGCAAAACGGGCAAATGCCTGGTGGGCTGCAATGGCCATGGGCTGAGGCCGTCAAGCCGAGGCACCCCTCAAACACAGACTGCACCACTCACAAACTGCCCCCTTGAGACACTGCACCTCTACACACATCCACTTTAGACACTGCATCCCTTATACAGACACTCTGCAACCCCTTTAATCATTCTGGATCCCCTATGCACACACTAGTTCCTTTGTACGCAGAAACACACACTATGTTCCCAAAACATGCACACTCTACAGCCCCTCGCACACACTTGCTGCATCCCCCATACACACACTATGTCCTCTACACACTCTACATCACCTATATGCACAAACTCTCTACAGCCCCTAGCCACACACACTACAACCCCTTGCCACACAGATATTATACCAAAAACACAACACAACTGTAACCGACCTATTTATATAAAACACTACACTACAATCCGCTCACTCTGCATACACACAAGAAGCCTCCAAACACATGCACAATACTCTTTCCTGGCCCTCTTGTCCTCTGGTATCCCACAAATGGAGACACCAGAGACAAGTCACAAGCAAATGCAGCACAAGTGTGTCATTAAATCCACTTGCCCCGTGCAGAACAAATGCAGGGCCTTTTTCTAATGCATGATCACTTCAGTAGGTGCTCCCTAGAAGAGAATTGAACCAACATGCTTACTTTAAGGGGGGCATGCATCATTGGTGATGATACAACAGCTTCCCCTGTGGCTCCACCCCCTTCCCACTGGACCTGGGACAAATTGTTTTCTCAGTCCTGCCCAGCTTGTGTCTCTACCAATCGCTGCACAGCTCACCTTAAAGAAACCCGTGCATGTGCTACTTAAACTAATAATCTGCCTGGTAACCTACTTAAATCTATCTGTATTTTTCCTGATGTAATGTTACATATGTGCATAAAGTGCCCAGAGAATTCCATTATTTTTACATGCTTAAGTAGCTAACTCAAGCATCATACCTGTTAATCTCTCATCTGATATATTGTTGTTCCTCTTTTGTTCCTTTTCCTCCTAGATTGTAAGCTCACTTGAGCAGGGCACTCTTCATCTCTCGCATCTGTCAATATTATATTGTCTCTCAATAAGTCGCTGTTATGTATCACCATTGTTTAAATGTAAAGCACTGTATAATATGTTAATTACAATACAGTCATTTTTGTTGTAGTCATTGGGGCAGTTACCCTGACACTCCTGGGTAAATACTTAGCATTATTAATACAGAAGTGGTGTGGTAATGATTTGTCAGATGCAAATTTTTCTTCAGTCACACCTTTTATTAATAAATAAAAACAGTGGATAGCACAACACACTAAACAGACTTAACTATGTTCTTCTTCTTTTCAAATATTTTTTATTGAAAATGTTTATGTTTTATAGCAATATATACAATACAACATCGTTAAGAAAGAATATCTCAAAACATATCAGTTAACATAAATAGCATATACAAGAATGTATACAGTGATAGTAATATAATTGTAACAATATAATATGTGTTTATAAAAGACAATGAACCTTTTTGGGGGGGATAAAGAAAAATAATTTATATAAATATTAGTGAAAGGGGAAGAAAGATTAGGGTAGGGAGGATAAATTGGGTTTTGGTACCCTTTTTGCATTGTTATAATATTTTAGTTTTCATGTTTTGATCACGTTGTGTTGAAATTTTTATAAAAATAACATTTGGTCTGCCATAGATTGGGTGTCTGTCTAGGGCAATGCCTATCTCTGTAATAAGATTAATGCTTCTGGAAATGACCATAGACATAGAAGAATGGAAGTCATAAACATCAAATTAATTGACAATTTTTTGGAAAGAAACTCCCTACTCACCTTCCCCAAATTAAAAAATAATTACAATCTTGACGACAATCTGTCTACACAACATCAACACATTATCACCACATTAAAAGAAGCATTTCATATTTCTTCCTTAGACCAATCAATGGATACTCTACAATCCTCCAATTTAGAAACGATACTTCTGAAAAATCCAGAAGAGAAACACACAATCTCCTCTTGCTACTACTACATGTCCTCATTTCCTAATAACAAAAATGCAATCTATGATAGCATGGGAATGGAACTTAACTTATCAGATTGGTACAAAATCAAAGATGCATTAAAAGGAAAGACTTCATGTTCAAACCATGTTGAAAACCATTAAGGGTTATTTACCGCTGGTATATGGTACCTACTAAACTTAAAGATATGTTCGCAGACTCTTCAGACCTTTGCTGGAGAGGGTGCGGAGGATCAAAGAGATATATACCACATATGGTGACGGTACACCAAACTCAAATCCTTCTGGTATTTCATTTTAACTCTGATCCAAACTATTGCCCCTACTATCCCAACTCTCTCACCGCAAATTGGAATATTTAAACTCCTCCCACATTTTTCTAAATAAAACAGAAAAGATTGTAATGTCACACATTCTAATCGCAGCCACCACACTTCTGCCAAGATATTAGAAAACCTCAAATATCCCATCAAAACAAGAAATTATTGCATCTATGTCATGGTTCTGATCAGGTATGACAGGAGACTTATTTCAGGTAGTTTATTTGATTTTCAGGCATGGTTCGGACAAAGGAAACAATATGAATAACATGATAAACCGAGAAAAGGGAATAATAAAGATAAAGGAAGAAAACAGAACCTATACACAGAATTACAGGTGAGTAAGAAATTAGACGTTAGGCAATATTCCCCAAATCAGGAATACAGGAAATAGGAAAACAATTAGTTAAAACTAAAACAGGAATATAAAGGATAAAGTAAAACAGCATAAAGTAACAATTGAAGTGATCAGCCTCTTTGGTTTGTAAACAGAATGGTAGATTCAGGTTGGATGAGGATACTTGCAAAATAATAAGAATGTCAGTAATATCCAGGCAGATTGGGAGGAAATCGATATGAAACCAAAGTCCAGTTTAGAAATAAAGCAGGGTTCTATTGGATGAATCAAGATGGGATGAATCAGGAAGGTTGTTGTTAAGTAAGGGTGGAGCAGGTTGTCAGATTCAGTTGAGTCAGGAACAGGTCTTTATCAGTATCAGGTAATAAACAAATCTCATTAGGAGCAGAACACAATTTCTCTCTCAATGTAAAGGCCACTTGGTTTGTCAGGTGTAGCCTTTTATAACAGACTTGGAATCTCATGCTATTCAGCTAAGAGTGACTGAGGAGACTAGTGGCTGGGGAGGCCACTTAAAGCGAGAAACAGGTGTTGCATGAAATAAACAGAATAATAACTTTGTTGTCAGGATAGGATCCTGACAATCTATTAGAGAAAACAAGAGTTACAAACTCGCGACACGACCACCATCTCCTTCACATGCAAAACTAAGTGCATTCTGGGATAATTGGGAACGCACGACAAATAAAATAGGTTGAAATTTCATAAAGGCTGAAAACATGGAACTTATTTTACTGGATAGGCTGTCTTCTTATTCTTTATTGTTTCTTCTACTGTAAATAATTGGATTTGATCACATTTAACTGATATATACCCTTTATCGCTTTCATCAATATGTTAACTGGGTTCTTCTTAGTCACCGGACCAAACAACAAAGACATTAGATAAATCGTAAGGTTCAAGCAAAACAAAGTGCAATCAGTAGAGAATTAATTGGCATATAATTGGTGTCCCAATGCGTCCAGCATTTGAATGACTTATTGAACTGCATCAGTGTTTTATATTTTATTGTGACGTCCTCCGTTCGTAGAAGAATCGATATGGAGAGCGGGGAAGTGAAGTGCAGCACATTTGTTAAACATTGCTGGAACCAAAAGCATAACTGGACTCATAAACTGGTTTCAGCAATTGAAGTATATTGGATTTGGTGATGTGCCCTATTTTAGCCTGCTTCTTGTAAGTGCAGTCTGTCTATATACATATTCTAGCGAATTACAATACTGCACTATTTGGGTTTTTGATTATATGAGATGAATCTATCCTGGGTGAAATGTTGGTGTTTATATACCTGTTTGTTATAGGAGAAAGGTAATTTTAAGTGCTATTGTTATCCATTACGGATTGGGAGTCACAGCTATATTACTCTGTATGCTGTTTATGTTGTTTACAGCCACTCTTTATGAATTTCTGTGTACCTAGATATTGAACTGTTAACACTCCCACCAGAGGCTGATCTTTATTAATAATACCATAACTGTTTCTTTCTGCTTATCACATGGTGGCATTTCACTTTTAGGTTCTTTTTTTGTATATATGTTTTAGTGTTTTACACCTTTCCTTCAATTCCTATGTTGTACATGCCAGAATGCTGGTTGCATAATATTAAATTGTATTTGCAATTGTCCGCTAGCGTATGGCTATCTACCAATTATCGTCGTGTTCTTGTTGAATTACTTCTTTTGGGACTTAAAAAATAATAGGTGGTTTGATCTCTTAGTATGAACTTAGGTACTTTTTAAAAAGGCATATTCCAAGCACCATAAACACTTCCAATGTAAGTAATTAAACTTTTTCACAAATTTGGCGGCTTATTCTCAGTCAATAGACTGGCCCTGCATTACAGCTATTAGCTCCTGGCTCTCACAACAAGAAGGAAAAGGGGCTGAAAATGGAGCTTCGTGGACCCCAGGTAAGAAGTCAAACTATTAACAAGTTTACCACTTACAGAGATCACCAGGGCACTTTAGACACCATAACCACTATAAAGCACTGTAGTGGTTGTGATGTTTGAATATTTCTTTAATATATTTTTAATAATAATAGTAATTTAAGTTTAGTTGTTTTTCTTTTTTTTTTTTTATGTTTGTTTTATTTAACTCATTACTCCTAAGTGGGGTTTTATCCATTATCCATATTCAGTTCTGTTTAAAAGATTATTTAGTAAATAAAAAAAAATCATGGAGAGCTGAGAGTCCTGATTGGGGGCTCCAGTCTTGCCTTTTCCATTTTGTCCCTTGATGTCCCTGCATGTGTAGATACCAGGGAACTGATCCCGGCAATCACAGCACAAGCGCATCATTAGATGTACTTGTACTGTGTTAAGGCATGAGGACCAAGCAGAGAGAGTTTCAACTGCACACTGTGCATGGTCTGCCCTGAATGGGGCCAGGTTAAAGGCTTGTCAATCAGCTTGGTGTGCGTGCATGCCGAGCAGGCACACCCCATCCTCTTTTCAGATAAGCGTGCCCAATAATATTGATGCACTTGATACACCTTTAAGCCCACACTACTCAATCCCTATTTCTTATGTCCTAATGTTAAAAAGTTTTGAATGTAAAGTTTAGGTCAGAAATACCTGGGTTTGGTGATTTATCAATTTGGCTACTATGGCCTAAAATTAACAGCAATTCCCATTTTGATTAATTAATCGTTATGTATTTTGATACTATGCAGGTTGTGAAGAATAGCATCTGGCAAGTTGAGACTACAGGTGATACATTTTAATAATAATAAACAGCAAAACAGCAAGCTGTAAAAATGTGAAAATAATTTATTTGTTAATATGTGAACAACAGTACATTTATAATCAGTGCATATTCAATATCTAATATAAAACATGGGTAACAATTTAGTGAGTATCATCATTTTCCCTATAGAAGAGCAGAGAAAAAAAAAAGAATGAACTCACAAATATATAAAATATTTGTATATAATTAGCACCAGAGTTGTAGGTAGAGGTATGTACATTATAGAATGCTTACAATAAGCACATATCAAATGTATAGCATCTTTGAAATTAATATAATTTATACCAAACCTTATGTATAGATACAGTGCATGAATAGGGTTATATAACTAGAAACACAAATAATTAGAAAACAAAAAAATAATCAAATGCTGAACATTTCATGTAGAAATAATAGAAATCTGTTGAAAACATTCAGAAATACTACAAAATGTCATATTTTTTGGAAAATCTCTATGCAGTTTTGTTACACATTAAAGGCAAATTAATTGAAACACATTATTTAGTGACCAGAAAACAGTGACTTAACGTAAACAAACCAAAAAACTAAACAAAAAACCAAACCCTGGCCCCCAAATACTGCTAATACAACGACCTATCTCTTTAGACATCCTGATTAAACTACTAAGTCTCCTCTGATTAGCAGATAGTAATATATCTGCTAATGGCTATGGACAAGCAATGCTTTTAGGTTCAGAAATGAACCATAGATTGAGTGCAAAGCATAAAACACATTATTATTATGCCTGTGACATGACATTTTTGAAGCTATATAGCTATATTCTAATATCTGCATTTATTTTAAGATTTTTTTTTGTTTCATTCTCAAATCCTATAAATGCAAGCCAGTAGAAACTAAAAATGACAAGAATGCGTCTAAATATAATCATATACTCATTAATCTATGCATTTTGTTTTAACGGATGTATTGATTCCATGTGGGGCTCCCCAATAAATCTCGTAATACTAGCTAATTATATTCTTGTTAACACAAAAGTAAGCCAGTCAAAGTATGTGAACTAAATACCTCTGTGCAATTTAGAAGTTAGGTAGTCAGAGTTTCGAAGAGATAGACTTTCACTCTGCAGACAAAGGATTAAATATTGGGTATATGGTAGACTGTGCGGTCGACCACTGGACTTACTCACACGAAATCAAAACATCCGATTTACTTTGAATTCCCTCATTCTAAACTTGAAGAAGTTTAATGGAACTGATAACAGCTGCTCTGAAATGGAGGTGAAAATGTATTTGGGTATTCCCCCTCTGGGGCAGTTCATACAGATGGTTATAATTTGCTTACAGTGTCAAGATAACAGAATGCAATTCAATTGCCTTAATTAACATTCTGCTTGGTTAATGGTTTTTAACTGCTACACATATTGTAGGTTACGCCAATGATTAACAATTGGAGACCATTAATTAACACATTCATTCACACACACAAACCATGATTTGAGGTCATTAAAGAAATGCTAAATCTTTACAACTATGGGTAATCATCACCTAGTTTAGTCAAAGATTATGTTCTAAATTGGACCACTTTGTAAATCTTTTTTTTTTTTTTTTGGCCTTTTGAGAACTTTCAGGTTACAAAAAAACAATAGTAATCACTGCTATGCTGTAAATGTATGTATACCAATACAGCTGCCTACAAATGTATAGTTCATTATATTTCAGTAGTGTAAATACCCTACTCAAAGGCAGTAACCAAGGACAATGGGAATATGTCAAACACATTAGAAATCTAATATTGTTTTTTAATTGTATGAATAGATTATAATTTAGGTGCCCAAAATCTTATGAAAGACCTGTTTTCATAGCCACATGTCTTTAACCATAGTACATATTATAATTATTTATGTTTGGACTTTTGCTGGCCAAAATATTACTTATACCTACATAGAAAAATTTGATCTTGAAAAGAAACTAAAGTTCTTTATGAGATAACTTAAACAAATCAAGATTTCCAGTACCTTAACATTTTAAACAAACTATTAAACTATGGTCCAGTATTGTACTTTGTTGATATTTTTAAGCTGTGTGAGTTAGATCCTTATGTCGAAAAGGGGAGCACCACTGGACACATAAAATGTTCATTGCAATGTCACTATGAAGTTAATTATACTAAAAAACCTATTATACTAGGAAAACCTATAAACCTTGGATAATGCCTATTTACCATCAATTTACCAAGAAGATATTTTACTTTAACATCTCAATTCTTAGTAATGCCAGTAATGAATATCTTTCCCTATCAAAATGTTTTTGTCAAGGATGTAAATTAATCATCAGTTATTAAATCTCCAAAATTCATTACTAGTTAGTATTACTAGTAAGTCTATTTTTGATTTACAAGAGAACAAACAGTTGTAGTTTAGATTTAATATTAGCATTGGTGTCTGATCTGGACTTGAGTTGGCTGTTTGGCTGAACTTAAGTATCTATATTAGATGCCACAAGGTCCTTTCTCCTGTAAATCACACAGTGAATGCTGTGTTCTTTTACAAGGTTATTTACTAACCCTGAACATTGTCATTACTTCAAAGTGAATTTTACCTTTCGGGCCATCGTAAATGACCTGGAAGAATTAGCAAACCTGTGGAGAATTAGCAAAACTATGCTAAAGAATGATGTTTAAAAGATTGTCGCGGCTGCTAGTGTGGTCCAACACGCAGAAACTATGTAAACATATACATACAAAAGGAAAGGAAATGAAGGACAGAGCGTAAACCGGACCTTAGAATGGCCGGACTAATACGCTAGAGATAGAAAATGGTCAAAGGGAAAGCCGAGGTCAAGGAAGACGGAAATACTCAGATACCATTTAAACAAGCCAAGTCAGGGGAACCAGAATTCGAAATAACCAGGGAAAAGCCAAGATCAGGATACCAAGAAGTAATATTCACAAAGATAAACGCACTCTAGGGAACCAGGAACAGGAAACCACGACAGGGCAAGGTACTGGGGTGAATTAGGGATTTAAATATCCCTCTCTAGGCTCTGATTGGTCAGACGGTGACCTCTGACCCCAGAACGTGCGCATGCGTTGACGTTGTGACGTCACGCGCACGTTCGTATAATTTTGGGGGGGGTGGAGCCATGGATGGACGCGACCTCATGGTCGGCGCCATCATGGATTTCCCCAAGCGGCGTGGAGGAACGGTTCCCGGCTCGCCGCTGAGCAGGTAAGCTCAGTGAGTGGGTGCAGTCGTGCCGGTCGGGCACGGACGCACATGGCGGCGAGCCGGGGGCTGTAACAAAGATAAAATGAGGAGAGTCCAAGGTGATTGCTATTAATGGCTCACCATGATAGCCTGGGTCCATATAAGATATATATGTATATATGTTGATTTTATATATGTTGATATATATATGTTGATTTTTAACTAGTGAACAATACTTCTTTTTCACTGTGTTTTCATGTAATGCTATTTTTATTTATTCTGTGTGACCTTCCTGTCATCCTGCAGCTATTTGCCATAGAAATTCAAAATCAAACCAGGCGTACCGTTAACCTGGAAACAAACATGATTGCTAATTCAATTGATATCTTTCTATTTACATACGGTTTCCTATAGTAATACTTTTCTGACTTTTCTTCTTATAACCTTTTACTTTTGAAGCTGTATAGATGTTCCAAATGTCAGGTTTCTAAGAGAGGAATTGACTGTTTACAATTTGGAACACAGCATTTCCTTAGATGGCATTATGTTCAAAACACAGCAGCAGTGATCTTCAATGTCAAAGTTAATTGAATGGTAAGTACACATTGATCCAGTGTTATGTACAGATCAGAATTAATTTTAAATCAGAGAGAGGGAGTGTGTGTAAAATACACACACACATCAGGCACCTAGCTCTGATATTTCCAATTTGTTTTGAATGTGTGAGAGTATTATATATATATATATATATATATATATATATATATATATATATACATGCACACTCACTGGCAAAAAGAACTGGGGAATTTTTAAGATGTACCACCGTGTTTCCCCAAAAATAAGACCAGGTCAAAAACGGTAGCAAGCATGCACTAGAAAGCAGGTCTCCTTTCGGGGGAATTTCCCCCAAATATAGACCAGTTGAATAGTGCATGGAATCTCGCAAATCTATGTTTGGGGAAACTTTCCCGAACATAGATTAGCTTACTCACGAATGGAATCCCATGAATCTATGTTCGGGAAACGATCCTGAAAATAGATTTGAGGGGATCTGACTTTTTTTTTTAGATGTAGTTTGATTTTAACACTTATTTTCATAACACCTGATCTAATGACACTGGTACATAGGTAAAACATGTAAATACTTCTGTGGGGCTGTTGTGACTTCTTGGGATTAAGTGCTGCATTTTTAGAAGACGTTACATAGAAATACCCTTCTTATTTATGTTTTCTAATTATAGTGTGTTGTGGAATCTAGCCATCAGGGTTGGACAAAAGTTAGATCCCTTGGTGTTGAGAGCAACACGTTCCATAAGGTTTTGCAAAGCCTTAAAGCTGACAGTACGTTCTGGGAAAAACTTTTGAGTATCTACCTTTGGATTTTCCTTCAATGCAATTTAACTTTTCTTTACATGTTACAGGCACAGTACACTGTCAAAATCATCATAGAACCCTCCTCCATTTTATTTAAGATAACACGCAAACCTGTGGAGCCTGTGATAAACCTGCAATGGTTCACATTTCTAGCTGACACATACCTGGATAATAATAGTCAGACATCTGAAAGGAAGAATTTCATTCTCTACCTCTTACAGTGAAAAACTAGTTACAAAGCACTATGTAACATCAAACACATAGTAACATGATGGTGCAGCCCACACAAATATATATGTGGGTAACTGTTCTGCCCTAGTTTCCCACAACCTTTTTACAAACTTCCTGGGAGGGACTGAAAGAGGTCCACACATGCCGTCTCTGGGTCTTATGATAAATCAGGATATCTACATTCACAGTGACATATATGTTTCTTGTGACTCTGCTCTAGAACAGACAGAAGGTGCCAAGATACAATGTTACATCATGGTACCCTCCTGTACCCAAGAGGCAGCAGAGAAGAGACAACTCTGACAACTGGGAAACACAACTCCTACACTCATGAAAGGAAACCAGAAGATGGAGGTTTGAGAGCTGCAATGGATACACTAAATTAAGAAGTGTAAACATATTTTGTAATGCCCAATTTATCACACACCTTTGTACACCTCTCTCTCATTAAGGCTTAGTAGACGTCTCTCAATAAAGGCTTCACCTCGTTTAAAAGAGCACATGTTCTTCAAGAAAGGCTAAAAATGATCTACATCACCATGACCTTTTAAGTACTGCATATTTCTGAATGTCACTTAAAAAAAATAGTTAAATCTCATGTAATAAATCATTAAATAAATACCCCTAGAAATATCTTGTTTTTTTTTTCTTTGATATAAAAAGGCACCATTGTTCACTTTCAGCTTGTAGTGCAATTGATTCCCTTTTTTCTGTATAAAATATTGCATTAAATAATACATACAGAATTCACACTGCTATATAAAAAGTAGCCCGACTGTTGTGCACGAAGTTTGAAAAAAAAAGAATCAAAGAATGTTTGGCATCTTTATAAAACATTCAAAATACATATTAAATATGTCATATTTAGTCCCTATTATGCATTGTGAGGTTGTTTGAAACGGGTCTGCAAAATCTATATAAATAAAAAGGCTTGTGGACGTAAAAACCTGGGTCTTAGGATAGTTAGCACTGACATGCCCTGAAGAGATAATAGCTTCTCAAAGAAGACAATATAGGCAACAAGTAATTGCCCTATATCAATTCACATTCGTAGGCATGTGCAAGGGATTTGCCAGGTATGTCAAGGTCTCTATGGGCAGTTGGATAAGCTTGTTATGTTTTCAAAGAAAACGTTTGTTTTTTGTTCCTTGGTTTTTACATAAGTACTTTGTTTATGTAAAAGTATGGTGCAAAGTGCTTTCTTTGCATTTGAATAAGCATAACGGCTGTTAAAATAAATATAAAATGTAATCTCGGACCCCAATGGCTCCTTTGGGAACTTGATTTATGTAGCTAGAAACTGTGGTTCCTTAAAATGTCTGTTTTTGTAGACAAATATGGCTAAGTGGACGGATTTTAGACTGTGGCCATTTGTTACAAAAGAAAACGCATGGATTTCTTAATTTCACTAATACCTGTTGATGTAGAACTTTCAATAAGGATAATTCAGTAGAATAGACATGGCAGGTATCAATAAATTCCCCCTTTATTTTAAAACTAATACAACGCACACATGGGACCACATGGAAGCCTTCATTGTCACTGAGGGCCTGTGTTAAGATATTGTCAAAGTTCTCTTTAGAATCACCCTCCCATTCAAATTAACTTTGAATTTTATTTACTATATAGTTGTGGGGAGTTGGTAACTGAATTGCAAAATGTAGGTTAAAATATTGAGTTAAGAGTAAATTTTGCAATTCATTCACTAGTATCTGGACCCCAAAACAATATGTATATATATATAAGTATTTATGAGCATGAGTCTCTCTTGTACACTTGTTAATGGTCAACACCAACTAAATGTAGAATTATCAACAATTCAATAATTTCACATTTTGTAGAAATGCCAAACATTTTCGGATACAACAACTAGCATAGCACCAAACCAAGCTAATCAGCTAGTTACAATTGTATACATGATTGATTAACAGTAAACAAAACAAAACACTTGATAACGAAGTATCACTCGTGTCAACATGCTACATTTGATGTATGGCATGTAAAAGGCAGTGGACGGACTGTAGCGTTTAAAAACATGAAAAGCAGCCAATGGCACTTTGCTGGAGAACGTTCCAGCAATGTAATACACTAACAAAAAAACTTAAAACAAATTCAACAGGAGGGCATCATAGACACATTTTACGCACGGAAATATTAAGCAAAAAATAAATAATTACAACCATAAATATTATATTATACAACATTTGGTATTATGTACACATGTACAAATGTTGAAGGTAGAGGTATTGCAACACTGTTCTTCATCCATGTGATCTTTTGATCTTTTTGTTAAAAGCACCTGAAAAAATAAACAATACATAAATATGTCTGAAGTGTAATCATGCAAACAGGTGGTGTCCCTCACGAGGGAGATGGATTGTTGAGGCTAGAATACGAGATGAGTTGAAGTTTTTTTTAATCATTGATTTTTTTACCAGTACTGCATTGCTATCTATTAATAATAATGGGTAGCAACTATTGAAGGGTTATTCCAAGAACCATGATTACTTCAGTTATTTGAAGTGGTCATGGTGCCTGGAGTCTCTATGAACATTGTTTCACAATGAAAATACTGCACATATGTCGTTTAACTTCTTTGATGCCATAGATATTACTCCACCTCAGGTATCGTATCCTATCGAGTATGGCGCTATTCGACAGCCCAGGAACAAGAGGCTGGCTAATGTCAATTCTGTGCATATTTCTATACACAAAAGAGGCATTCATTGACTAAGAGTAATCAGTTGATGCTCTCAGCCAATGAATGAACAGAGGGATCAGCATCCAGCTTCTGCAGTTCTGTAAAAACTGAATGTCATAAACCTGTCTATGGAAGAGGTCCACTGTCCAGCTGAATGGCGCCAGGGTGTTCCTACCATAATAAACCTGACAGTGGCTGTAGTCATTATGATAGTTGGAGTAATTCTTTAAGCTGGTCTGGAAACTTTGTAGAACTGGTAGGAGCATATTCTTAACTAACAATATTTATGGCTACACTCAAGACTTATGGATAAGGAAATTGTCTTACCAGTTCTATAAAAGTCGAACACTGAAGCCAGTTGCAGAAGATGGGATACATTTTCCACAGTAGCCACCACATTTTCCGATAACTTTGGTTCCATCCTATAAAATAAAACAAAAAAACACCCAAAAAACTGTTTTATTGTGATGACGGACCAAAACCTTACAGTCCTAAATGATGTGAACATGTAAAATGGCATACCTCATTAACTATTTTTATTTTAAGAAAATAATTTTTCAGTAATACTTGATCTCACATTATCATGGTTTTGCCCATTTTCATTGTGTTTGTGTTACAATTAGTTTTTGGCTTACTTTGAAATAAAAGCTCCTAAATCATTCTAGCTAGAGATTTATGAAACATGTTATGTTCAGTTTTATCGTCAACTTTGTTTTACTTTTTTGACAGAAAAATAGATATATAATTCAGGATTTTTTTTTTTTTTTAAATATCTGTCTCTCTTAAAAACCATTTTTCTGATTTTGTTTCAGATCTTCACACATGTATAATTAAAAATATGTAGTTTATATTTATCGTGGTAAAAGTAAAACCATCGTACTGCTAAATTTGAACTTCTATAACTTTTCAGTTAGAGCTATATTTTGTCACGTCATCACCTAACATTTCTTTTATTCTTGCAATGAATAGCATAAACTCAATGTAATTATTCACTCAAAACATTCTATGTTAGTCTAACCTAAAAGGTCGCATTTATAAAGAATTTTCTCAGTGCCTTAAAGAGTATAATGACATTTGGAAAGCTTGAATTGGCCATATACAGTAAAGAGTTTTATCAAACTGGAAACTAATTTCATATGCCAAAATATTTGAAAGAGCTAGCAGGCTGACATTGAAAGTAAATATTGGCTGTAAAATAAGTTGTAGATACATACAATCTCATGAAATATATAAGGACACTTGGGAAAGGAGGTCTGCAGAATTTAGGTCAGTGAATGGGTCTGATGGGCTAAGGGCTGATTGAAGGGGTTTAAAGTGAAAAAAAAGTTGACTGCAGGCCAGAAATCTCAGTGAGAGGCAACCTAAAGATGTAAATAGGTGTGCCCTGAGTAAGGAGGGTAATAGGCAATTT